ATAATGATAATAAGATCTTATCGATTTAAACCTTATCGATACAATTACTCGAAAAAAAAACGAATCTCGCCAGAGTATCAAGGCTGAACAACAAGGGACGCGGAAATTCCCTGAGCCGGATCTCTGAGAAGGATTTCGAGGGGTTGGTTCTCTTCGGTCGAATTTTATTTTCGAAGGGAGCTTTGCCGAGTTTTCGTCGTTTCCGCAGCTGACCGCAAACGGTCTTGCAGAGGCTTACGAGCAAACACGAATCTCTTGAGCCGAGGTACTTTCACTGCAGCTGTCCAAGTTCCCTCTGTTGCTCCACCACCCTCTCCCCTCTCTTCAACGAGCAAATTTCCATCCGGTGTTCCGGATTACAATTTAAATCGTTTGCGGTTTTTGGTATCTCTTGAAACGGGAGAGAAGGGGGGCAGAGTTGTTCCGAGTAATTGCCACTACTGTTTATATTTAATCGGTTATTTTCGGCTCGTTTGTGCGATGGAATTTGGAATTTGAAATTTTCGAAATGAATTTCCGATCGTAAACATTCGAAATAGATCTTGGGATGAGAGTTTTGTTTGTTTGTCTCGTTCCTTTCTCGTTCAATTCGATATTTCGAAATTGAATATTTCAATGAAATTGTTTTATTCCGAAATAATTACGGATAATGAAAAATTGAGTTGTGATAAGACAAAAGAAAAATTAATTTTCTACAAATTTGTCACATTCATAATAATGATTGAAACAAGTCATCGACACTTGCGTTGAAGTAATAATAATGAATAGTTGTTTTCTTTAAAATAAAAATAATATTATCGTAGTATCAGTTAAAATCGTGTCAAATTCACGCTGTCAAATTTGTGAAATTGACGAGTGAAAAACGCAAGTATATGACGCGTCTGACTATATCGGTTAACTATAGGCATCCGTTACGCAGCAACTCAACTTCCTTTCTGTCTTGTTTCTCGCCCTTCCGGTTCACGAGGTGGAAAGCACGGGGCTTGTTGCCGCACCGAACGCTCCATGTTGCCATTGTGTTAATATTTGAGGAAGCAAGCTTGACGCTGCTTGTGCTTGTTGATGGATGGCTCTTTATCTCTCCCTTACCCGTTCGATCAAATTAATCACGTACAAGACGAATTGCAGGTCCGACGAAGAATCATCAACAACCTCATCCTCACCTTTACTCTTCACTTCCTATTTTGAAGTTTTTAAAAATCGAATATTATTTTATCGCACGATGGAATTTTAATCGTTTCTCTCCACGTCAATGAAAATGTTTCCCAGGGGGAAAAATTTTATTCTGTAGATAGATATTTTATTTTAAAATTTCAAGCTGGAGAGAGATGAGAGGAATAAAGATGATAAGAAAGAAATGACGAAATTCTTTTAAGAATATATTTGTTAGAGAGGATTATAATTGATTCAAAATTGAAAAAAAATTGAAGAGAAGAGAAACGAGAAAAATATGAAATGTAAAATTATGTTATTTGTACTTTAAAAACCTCAAAAACTAATTAAAAAATAGCATAAAATCACAAAATAAAAAAAAGATAATAATCCAATAAAATCTCAAAAATCAAGAAATCAACAAAGTAATATTTTTTACACTCTAAAAAAAAAAATCGGAAAATCAAAAGAGATAATAATCTCTCGCACGTCTGAAAAATCACAAAGTAACATCCCCCCTCCCTCCCTCCTTCTCCGCATCCTGGATAAAAGCACAAAATCAAAAAATCACAGAGAGGCATCGCCAACTGGAAGAGGTGAGGATTATTCCTTTCAACGGAAAATCTCGGAAGAAAGTGGAAGAGGGAAGTGCGCGAGTTTTTCAGCGTCGCGTAAAAACGTTTTTCCCGCCTTATTCGTCGGCCACACAGACTCGAGGGGTGGAATTGAAGCTGGGTCTGCGGCATGGCGAAACGCGTCTGGGTCGTTAAGCCGGCAGGGATTTTATCGTGCATGTTCCACGGTCAGCCGCGTAACCGGTATTTCTACTGTCGTTGACGCTTAGTCACAATGTCTACCTTCCTGTTTCCGTCCGTCTTTCGCGTCTTTGAGCGGTTCACCGGTGTCGCTCGAAGCCTTGCCCCGTGTTTAAACCTTTCCAGATTCCTCGCTTCTTGTCGTTTCGAATAAAAACTGTAATCCCTTGCCGCGACGAATCCCACTACAGGGAAACGTAATGGCGACGCTACGAATATTCTGTATTCGCTTGTTAATTCGTTCCTGAAAAATGAAATAGAATTAATTTCCTTTTTTTTAAATAAGAATCGAAGAAGGAGAAAGGAGAAAGGATCGGTCTTGAATCGAGACTCGATTAAATAACATTTATTAAATTTAAGTGGATTTTTTTTTGGAGGGAATGAATATTGGATTCCTTGTCAAAACAAATGTGAAGAATATGAAGAGATTCCATTATATCGCGTTTTTAGAAATTATTGCGATTATTAATTTTCGTGAGATGCTTTTGTTTCTGTAACGAATAATGCAATGCGTTATTAATGGATGTTTGTCTTGTTGTTAAATTTATTTCAATTATTTATTCTAAATATATTATTTCTTCTTTTCTTCTTTTCTTAAAAGTCATATCTTGCGACAAGTTCCCCGACGAATAACGTTATAATGAACAATCAAAGAGTATAGGTTTGCAGCTTATGTTTCCCCTGCGTATCGTTTGCTCTTTGCTCCAATTCCATTCCTTTACATTTCTCCCCGGGTCTTATTCAGAAGGGGGATCTAAGAAACTCGTCTCGTTTACGTGAAAACATTTCTGAATGCTTCTTCAATGATAATCCCTTCATTTTTTTCTTCCACCAAAGGGCGGAGAGTTTAATTAAACTCGTCATTATCGTTATTTTTCGAGTAAACGGTAAATAATAAACAAGAGAGATATATTATTCTTTGCGGTGAAAGAGGATAATGAAAGAAGAAGGAACAAGAAAGAAACGAAGGAAGTATATCCAACGATGTGGAAATTTTTGATGGCTTATGTAATTCCTGCAACTGTATAAAATGAAATGTATTCGTATATTCATAAATATGCAGAGGATGCAGGGGATTGAGAAGAATCTTTTTTTTCAAATTAACAATTTTACTTCTTCTACTAGTTATTGACTATAATATACTTTGTTTTCTAATAGAAATTTTAATAGAAAGTCGCCTCAAGCGAGCCGTAAAAGCGTCGATAAAATTGCATCGGTAATTTCATTCCCATTATTCCAAATCGCATTTGCCAATATTAATTATTTTATTATTATTCCATTTATAACAAATATAGGAATAAACACTCGCATATTCCAATTTTATACCGATTTGCATATATGAATATTTATTATATCCTTATTCTAAACATTTCCTTTTTTTAACGTTATCACATCACACAGTTTTCTTTGCAACATATAC